ATGACAGCCACAGTAGGTTGTCCATGGTGGACCTCCACAAATGTATATGACAGAAAATGTTCTCAGACTTTGGCTCCACGTTGAATCTTATTTTTATTAAGACCACTTTCACCTGCTTGTGTCCACCACTCTGATCATAAAAGAGCTTGGACTGGCTGGTAGCCACAAACAGGTACGTTCTTCACACCGGGTAGCTGCAGTTTCTTCTTCTTCAGATGACCCGTTGTTGATTTGGACATCATTGACCTTTCACCCCCCTCCACCAGCAGACATGTGGAACTATAGGTTTACTTTTCAGAGTCCATTAAACCTGAATAGAGTGAATAATTAGATCAAGGAGAACCCATTCATGCCTTTTTCTCCCTTTCATTTAACTTTATCTCTACACAGTGTTCAGCAATAATCCAGCCGTGCGTGAGACGACAGTCTGCTCTTATCAGACTTCATTTCACTCAGACTGAATGCTGATGCGAGTAATTAATGCAGTCATTTGCCTGTATGTGATTAAATATCAGTGTTTTGATAAGTGATGTAAACACGTCTCTGTTTGTAGCTGGTTTCATTCCTATCTGAAGCCTCTCTGGCGTGACTCCGGAGTACATCGAGGTTGAAGTGGAGTCAGAACTGCAGTAATAACACCAGGAGTTCAGAGGTTTTATAGCAGTGTAGAGTAACGGTGGCTGAGTGTGAGCTCAAATCTGCATATTTACAGTCTTCCTTCCCCTTCTGCTTCATAAACTGTGGTTTTAAATGAACTGCAATACACATCCAGTGGGAATTGGATGTCATTTAAACATTGAGTTTATCGTTGTTGCTTTCATTTATTCCTGGACATGTGCAGCTTAAGTTAAACCACATTTAACCAAACTGTTTAGTCCATGTCTTTTGCTGAGCTGAATTATTTCAAGCAGATAAATTCATTGAAACAGAATCTCAAATTAACGCTGTCGATGCAAGTCATTTGTTAAAATGTCTGTTTTTAATTATCTCAAAAGAAAGTCATCCGGAGAAAAAGAAAAGTTGCTTATTCTCCTGCTTCACCTTTCCTCTTCCTCCTCCTCCTCCTCCTCAGATCTACCTGTTGGCACCAAAGAGCGCTCTGGGACGGTTCATCAAGAAGCCCTTCATCAAGTTCATCTGCCACACAGCGTCCTACCTGACCTTCCTCTTCCTCCTGCTGCTGGCCTCTCAGCACATCGCCCGCACCAACCTGCACATGCAGGGCCCCCCACCCACCATTGTGGAGTGGATGATTCTCCCGTGGGTGCTGGGTGAGTCCAAAAAACACGTCTCTGTCCACAAACTTCACGCTATGACACCACGAGAGGCTTAAATGAGCTGTTCTTTAATATAAATACACGTGTGAGCATTTCTTGTGGTAAATTTAAATTGAATTAAAATAAATTTTAAAGAGAGTTCATTTTGGAAAAGCTTGGAAGCAGGGAAGTTTTGGGAAAGTGGTGAAATTTTCTGATGATTCTGTGCTTCTTGTCCTATTGGACCTTCCATCTGCATTTGACATCATCGACCATGAGATCCTCGTTTCTAGGCTGGAGCAGTGGGTGGGCATCACGGGGTCGGCCCTTAAATGGTTTTGGTCCCACCTCTCTGACAGAGCCTTTTATGTCTACGCCAAGGATTCTATTTCAACATTGGCAGCTCTTTGATGGGGGGTACCGCAGGGCTCCATTCTTAGCCCTCTTCTATTTTCTTTATACCTGCTGCCACTAGGTGCTATTTTTCATAAACATGGCATACCTTTTCATTTTTATGCTGATAACAAATTTACTTCCCTCTGAAGCACACTGGTGCACATCCTATCCAACCTCTTCTTGACTGCCCAGTTGACGTCAGGGATTGGATGACTTTAATTTTTTTAAATTTTAATGAGAAGAAGACAGAAGTCATGTTGTTTCCACCTAATGTCACAAACAGGAAACACTGTATTGACCTTTCCTCTTTAGCCTTGTTAGAGAAACAAGTTGTCACTAACCTGGGAGTGAAAAGTGACCCTTCTGTGAAGCTAAACAATCATTTAAATACGATTGTTAAATCCTGTTTTTGTTTGTTTTGTTTTTTGTTATTTTCAGTTGAGGCGACTGTCTAAATTGAAACCATACTGCCCAAAAGTAATCTTGAGCAAATAATACATGCTTTAATATCATCCAGGCTTGATTACTGCAATGCGCTTCCGTTTGGTATCAGTCAGACCTCTATTGAACGATTACAACTGGTCCAATATGTTGCAGCCCGATTTTTAACTGGTACAGGCAAAAGAGGCCACATTACACCAGTTTTAGCCTCCCTGCACTGGCTCCCAGTGCACTTCTGAATTCATTCAAAAAAAAACTTTTGTATGTTTTTAAATCTCTGAACAGTTCTGCCTCCTCTTATCTCACTGATCTGCTGCAGCCATATGTCCCACAGCGCTCTCTGAGGTCAGACCAGATGCTTTTATTGGTTCCAGGCATTCGTTTTAAGCTCAGAGGTGACAGAACCTTCTCTGTTGCAGGTCTAAGACTGTGGAATGAGTTACCACTGCATGTCAGGCGGGCTCCATCTCTCACTGTTTTTAAGTCTCGATTGAAAACTCACTTTTATTTCCTGGCTTTTGATCCAGTGTGAGTTGATTTCAACTTGTCTGTATTCTATAATTTTAGTAATTTATTTTCTTGTCTTTACCTCTGTGGATCTATGTATTTTATCCTGTGTCCACTGCTATTTGTTTTGCTGTACAGCACTTTGGTTGGCCTTGTTGCTGTTTTTAAGTGCTTATAAATATATGGTATGGTAACTTGTCCCATTTCTGAGGTTTATAACATTTTCAACACATTTTTTCCCATAAATAACACTTTAAAACTTTCATCTTTTTATTAAATGATTCAAATTTGACCCAATTTAAAGGTTTGAAGGATCCTTCGTCCATCTCGCATCAGAACGGTCCCCTCATCAGTGAAATAATTAAATAAAAATCAACATGTGTTACTGTTCTCCACCTGATTGCTGATCATCAAGAGATCCTTGTGTGTGTGGTTGGACGCCTGCGAGTGTGCGGAGGAGGCGGTTGTGAAAAATGAACGATTGCATCTTCATCTTCTCTCTGAGCGCTGACACCAATCATCCCTGAATCCTGATGACTCTAAAAAACACTAAACCATCTGTTCTATCCATCATCCACTTTTCTCCCATTTCTCGCTTTCCAACCTGACGAGAGCAAAAAGAAGGACATTAAAAGAAGAACTGTCGTAGAAACGTGGCATTTTAATGTCAATCCTGAAAATAATAAAAGTTTCACGCAGATTTAAAAAAACCTAAAAATCATGGAATAAGTAAATGGTAAATGGACTGCACTTATATAGCACCTTTCTGTCTTATCAAGATACTTAAAGTTCTTTACAACAATCTGTGTCCTCATTTACCCATTCATACAGCACTCTACTAGATCTCTACAAAGATTAACTAATGTTTTAGATCGCATTCAAACACCGATGGGACACACATTGGAGGCAATAAGGGGTTCAGTGTCTTGCACAAGGACACTTTGTCATGTGACTCCTGGTGGAATCGAACCCCCAACTCTCACAATGGAGGACAACTGCTCTAAACACAGCTGCCGTAAAGTAATGGGACAAAGACAATGCCAACGGTATCTTTTCAGTTCTCCTTTTAGCTAAAACTCAAACATCTATGTCCATCCATCCATTCATTTTCTTCCGCTTATCCGGGGTCGGGTCGCGGGGGTAGCAGCCTAAGTAGGGAGGCCCAGACTTCCCTCTCCCCAGCCACTTGGTCCAGCTCCTCCGGGGGAATCCCGAGGCGTTCCCAGGCCAGCCGAGAAACATAGTCCTGGGTCTTCCTCTGGGTCTTCTCCAGGTGGGACGTGTCCGGAACACCTCACCAGGGAGGCGTCCAGAAGGCATCCTGAACAGATGCCCAAGCCACCTCAACTGGCTCCTCTCGACGTGGAGAAGCAGCGGCTCTACTCTGAGTCCCTCCCGGATGATCGAGCTTCTCACCCTGTCTCTAAGGGAGAGCCCAGACACCCTGCGGAGAAAACTCATTTCGGCCGCTTGTATCCGAGATCTCATTCTTTCGGTCACAACCCAAAGCTCGTGACCATAGATGAGGGTAGGAACGTAGATCGATCGGTAAATTGAGAGCTTCGCCTTTTGACTCAGCTCTCTCTTCACCACGACAGACCTGTACAGCGCCCGCTTCACTGCAGACGCTGCACCTATCCGCCTATCGATCTCACGCTCCATTTTTCCCTCATTCGTGAACAAGACCCCAAGATACTTGAACTCCTCCACTTGGGGTAGGACCTCCTCCCTGACCCGGAGAGGGCACTCTACCCTTTTCCGGCTCAAGACCATGGCCTCGGATTTAGAGGAACTGATCCTCATCCTGGCCATGTCGCACTCTGCTGCGAACTGCTCCAGCGAAAGCTGTAGATCACGATCTGATGAAGCCAACAGGACCACATCATCTGCAAAAAGCAGAGACGCAATCCTAAGGCCACCAAAACGGATCCCCTCAACACCTCGGCTGCGTCTAGAAATTCTGTCCATAAAAGTTATGAACAGAATCGGTGACAAAGGGCAACCTCGGCGGAGTCCAACTCTCACCGGGAACGAGCCCAACTTACTGCTGGCGATGCGGACCAGGCTCTGACACCGGTCATACAGGGACCTAACAGCCTGTATCAAAGGGCCCGGTACCCCATACTCCCAGAGTACCCCCCACAGGGTTCCCCGAGGGACGAGGTCGAACATCTATGAACATCTATAAAAACATCTGTCATTTTCTAAAATTATATATATATATAATATATATATATATATATATATATATATATATATATATATACACATTACATTTTGTGACCCCCGCGACCCGAAAGGGAAGAAGCAGGTCAAGATAATGGATGGATGAATTTCTTTGAGTTTGTTGAAATTCTGATTTGAATTTTCCAATAATTTGGGACAACACTTGTAAAAGATAAATAAAGGTGTGTTGTTTGTTAAAGAAATGCCTGTCGCCCGCCACTCTTCATGTCAGAGTTGTAGGCTGATTTCGGCTGATGTTGATAAATCAGAGTTGAAGACGTTTGGTCCAACTTTCAGAGTAACGTTAAGTGTGGTCTGTCAGCGCACAGAGTACACGTTGTGACCGACTCTCACTTACTACCACACCACATTTTAGCTCATCTGTGGAATGAGCTGAACATTAGCTACTTTTGTGTTATCTATAATCAGTAGGCTGTGGCAGCCATCTTGAATCAGGGTGACTCTAAAGTGAACCGGTTATAGACGAGTGTCCAACGATTGCTGTCTGACAGTTTATTAAAGCCCACCCAGTGGTTCATCTGATATTTTGCTAACAGACGTACATGTTGTGGATTATCCAAAAATAAACGTGGCTCAAGGATTTAACAAGTTGGCTCCATTTTATGGTGACTCATTATTGAGGAAAAACAAATGTGCTACAAGTTCATCAGAATACGAGATAATACAAACAGGAAGTGGTTCGCCCACATTTGTTTCCGTGAGCCAATCAGCTTCCAGGAAGCGTCAATCAGCTGACATGAGCTTTGTGACTGTAATGTTACTTATCAATCTCGTGCCAAATCATCAAATATTCTAGGAGTTGGTAACATAAAGCAGTTCTCCCCCACACATGGCGATTACATGTTCGCCCGCCATCAGTGGAGGGGGAATAAAAAGGATGTCGTGGTCAAATATTTCAGTGTCTGCGTCATTGTCTCCCCAAAATACCAAAATATACCAAGTTTTATAAAGTATGACAATAAAAAGCTGTTTTTAAATCATCACTTTGTAAAGTTTTTATCAAGAAAATTGTTTTTTAGTCCAAAACCTGTTTGCCTGCAGGTGAAACGTTTCCATGTGGACAGTCAGCGTTTCTGCAGCGCCCAGTGTGAAACTTAAACCGGAGCACGAGGAGCGGCTGGTCGCCGTTTACACGTTGAGTGAATTTTCCTGTAGAAACACAACTCTTAGTCGGGGAGAATTTTCAGATACTGAAATATTTAAAGACGAAGTTGTTTAATTTGAGTGTTCGGGTCGGTGAGCCGGCGCGCCTCGGAGGTAAAGCGGCCTGGACAGGCTCACCGGAGGGACCGGTGTCAGACATCTGGGTTAACCGAGGCCACTTGTCTTAACGCAGCCCCCCCCCCCCCCCCCCAACAAAAAACAGCCAATCCAGAGAGAAAATCAATTATTTATTGTGAACTTCATGTTGATTTGAACTCGGTCACTCAGGAGGAAAATGTTGCTTTCTGCAGCTGCTGAAAGGAAAACGCTGCAGTCACGGCACAGAAACAACGCAGTAATACGTGCACACAAATAACCAGCTGTGTGTGTGCGTGTGTGTTCCAGGCTTCATCTGGGCAGAGATCAAGGAGATGTGGGACGGAGGATTCACAGAGTACATCCACGACTGGTGGAACCTGATGGACTTTGCCATGAACTCCCTCTACCTGGCCACCATCTCTCTGAAAATAGTGGCGTACGTCAAGGTAAAAAATAATATTAATGAAAAATGATGAGGTCATCGATGGTTGAAGGTCTCACAGAGAAACGGAACAGAGTGAAACTGTGTGTCGCACATCAAAGTTTTATAAAGTATGACAGTAAAAAGCTGTTTTAAAATCATTACTTTGTAAAGTTTTTATCAAGAAACTTGGTGTTTTAGTCCAAAACCTGTTTGCCCACGAGTGAAACGTTTCCATGTGGACGGTCAGCGTTTCTGCAGCTCCCGTTGTGAAACTAAAACCGGAGCACGAGGAGCGTGCTGGTCGTCGTTTACACAAACGTCTGCAGTTTGTCTGTTTTGCTGCACTTGTGAATTATGTGGGCCCTAAAATGACGCCTGCTGTTCTTCTGAGCAGCGAGGAACCCTCAGGGCCTTCAACGTGTTCAGAGAAGGCCCATGATCTCAGAACATATGAAATGATTCATTTAAAATTGGGTTCGTTTTATGTAAAATACATATTTTTAATGCAACTGTTCTTTTTTTGTGTTAATTTCTTATTTACTTTGAAAAACAACTTTGAAGTTGAGCGAGAAACGTATTTATTCATGAAAATAAAGTTATCCAATCAGAGTCGTCTAAATCTGCGTCTCCAGGCAGAAACACGTTTGAAGGTCACTGGTTAGGACTTCACTGTCAGAAGAGAAGGCTCGGCTCAGTCAAAGGAAAATTAACCAATTCATAGACGTCACAGCAATTATATTAAGGGAAAGTATCCCCTCCCCCAAATTTAAAAAATATTAATTTGGACCCCCACCTCCCCTACACTCACACATTTATCGTGAAATATTAGTTCACTCTGTGCTGTTTCTATTTCTTTGTGAACAAATCCATTCCACTTGGTTTATAGAAGACTCAAACCACTAAAAGTCCACTCCAGGTTTTCCTGGTTACCTACAACAACTCACCACATGCAGTGTTTCCCCAAGGTCATTCGGCTTGGCAGGGTGCTAATCTCTTTTGTGTGTGTGTTTGGGGGGGGGGGGGGGGGTTGACAACTGATGGAAGGAGGGGCAAACACCTCTGTGTTTCATGCTAGCTTAGCGCTACGTTATTGCTGGCAGTGCAGAGCGCTACATCTGCAACAACTTAGCTAGTGTTTCTGTATTGCACTCCTCTAGCTTGGCGCTATGTTAGTGCTGGCAGTTGATGACAGGGGGGGGCTGTTGTTCAGGCTACTCTAAAATAGTTATTGAATCAAGTGTTTACTTGTGTAGTAAACATAGATGTTTAACAGCTCGTTAAAATACACCAGAATGCAGAAAATGGAATCTATTGTATTCACAAGTTTCTGGGGAGGACCTCAAGAATCCCCCCCACCACCACCACCACCACCATTGTGTCCCCCCCCCCCCCCCTACACATTACAAATGCTTCTGATGCCAATGAACCAATTACAATGTTAATGTGTTGATGGCAGGACCAAAGCACAGGGCTCGGAGCCTTCAGGAAGGCGCTGCGAGGAGCTGTTTTTGTGAATTATTCAAATTTCATGTTGTACTTGAACACAAGATGCTGGATGGATGAATCTTGGGACAGAAATGGGCAAACTTTTCCAGGTTCTGCGTTCAGATGTGTTGTCTCTGTTAGTGTTTCTGTTCAGCGTTGGGTTGGTATTTATGTTCAGCTTGTTGTTACTGATAGTTCTAAAATAACACCATGAGTCAGGCGTTGTATAAAACATAAAATGTATAAAACGGGAGAAAACACTCCCTATTCAGAGAGTCACTGACTGGCAAAACTGAAAGTGTGATTTATTTGGACCGCGACTTTGTAGTTTTGTGACATTAGCATTTATCAAGTTGCTGTATCCTAGCTGAAGGTCCAGCTCCTGTTGGTTCGCCGCTGTCATTGTGTGATTTATGATCAAAACCTTCAAAGAAATACAAGAAAGCAGCTACAGTGGGAGGAAATAAGACATCTACTGTGCACGCTCTTGTTTAAACACTACAAACAGCTGTAATTCTGGAGAGAGATAAAGTCTGAGGAGCAGCAATGATTGTAAGAGCTGGTTTCCGCCCTGAATTCATTATTATGGCTTATATAATTTACTGACCTGCCAATACTTGTACAGCGCTGCACTAATTTACATTAACGCAATTCATTATGAGCAGAAACATCATTTTTTAAATGTCACTTTTGGCTTCAAGAAGTGCCATTAAGACGGTCGTCATGTAGCTCTGACGTCAGCTGTGATTTGCGCTCATGATTAATGGATGTTGGACGTGTGGAGGTTTTTATTTTTATTCTTAAGAAAATAAAATAAAACACGCTGCACTACGACGCAGTTACATCCTGACATGGAGAGCCAGTGCCGGACGACGGCTCAGTCTTTGTGCGGAGCAGAACACAATCAAAACGCTTGTTGGTCCCTCGATCGCAATCACTCCAGGTTCTGTCAGCGTGCAACGAATATTCACTTATTGACGTCTAATGATGAGTCACCATCTCATCCCTCAAGAGTCGCAGCTCAGAGAAATAACACCTGAAGCACTTCCTTTGAAGCAGGAGCTCAAAAAACTTGATAAGCTGAGACCTAGTTTGATGAAGTGGCAAAACTTTATTAGCACGTTTGATTTATGTCGACAGTTTATTGGATGAAGAAATCTGGAGTGACAGAGGAGTCTGTTAGACTGGAACAGGACATGTCTGAGGACAGCAGGGCTTGCATGAGGACAGCAGGACTTGCATGAGGACAGCAGGACTTGCATGAGGACAGCAGGACATGTCTGAGGACAGCAGGACTTGCTTGAGGACAGCAGGACTTGCATGAGGACAGCAGGACATGTTAAAACTGGTACAGGACATGTATGAGGACAGCAGGACATACATGAGGACAGCAGGACATGTATGAGGACAGCAGGACATGTATGAGGACAGCAGGACTTGCATGAGGACAGCAGGACGGTGAAATGTGCTGTAGGATTGACAGATAGTTTTAAGGTGGAGGTTGGAGTGCATCAAGGATCAGATCTGAGCCCCTTCTTGTTTGCTCTTGTGATGGACAGACTTACAGATGAGGTCAGGCAAAAATCCCCGTGGATTATTATGTTTGCAGATGACATTGTGATCTGTGGTGAGAACAGGGAACAGGTGGAAGAGAACTGGGAGAGGTGGAGGTACGCACTTGAGAGGAATGAAAGTCAGTCATAGTAATACTGAGGATCGTAGTAGGGATTTGTGCCTCTGTGAACAGTTGGCATAGCGACACAGATGTTCCGTTTAAATAAAGTTTTATGCCAACGTGACACGGTTTACAAACCCGTAACAAAGCAAAGTTTGAGCGGCTTGGAAAAATCAGATTGTAGAAATCCATTCTTACATTGTAGTCCCTGCTCTCCGTGGTCAGTTCAAACGTTTCTCCCTGATTCTCCAAACGCAGCTCGCCGACTGCTGCAGGTAGGATGCTGACTGCTCATGTGAACTCCGCACAGCCCCCCTTAAAATAACATATCCCTTTTTTGATTTCATGTAAACGATGTAACGACACACAAACACCAGATGGCAGGGCAATCTGCGACAGCTGTGAGTCACCGATGGTGGCGGGTGGCACTCCTACACGGGTCCGACGCTCTCCGGTGCATCAGAACGGCGCGCCGCGAACACGTGGAGGTGAAATGGACGCAGCTGTAAACATAGCTGCCCTGACGGTCCTGCACACAAAGCAGCAGCAGCTGGAGCGGCGTGTCTCACCATCTATTTTTCATTTCTCATTCAAGTATTCGTCAACGTTGAAAATCCTCCGGAGGAGTTGTGAGATTTTTGCTCCGTCATTGTGCAGGAGAGCATAAATTAATGACGGTGCGTCTGCTCCCGGCAGCGCCCCTGTGTGTGTTTGTAAAGAGGGTGAACAGTATTAACAAAAATGTCCTGCAGGAAGTTTCCTTTCACTTGTGAAGAACCTTAAACCTTTTTCATGTCGTTTCTTCTTCATCCTCCGTCCCCTCATCTTCCCCGTCCAGTATAACTCGTCTCGTCCCAGGGAGGAGTGGGAGATGTGGCACCCGACGCTCATAGCCGAGGCTCTGTTCGCCATCGCCAACATCTTCAGCTCGCTCAGACTCATCTCGCTCTTCACAGCCAACTCCCACCTCGGGCCTCTGCAGATCTCTCTGGGGAGGATGCTGCTGGACATCCTCAAGTTCCTCTTCATCTACTGTCTGGTGAGACGCAAACCAGGCTCCGTCCAAGCAGCATAAATCTGGGGGGTCAGCTTCTGTAAAGGAGTTTTTTAATGAGGAAAAGAGAACGCAGGTTTATATGGGGTGCCGTTTGTAAAGTTCACAGTTAAAAGTTAACAGAAATATTTTGGTTTAGCCTTTAATTAAAAAAAGGGTTTTGTTTTTCAAAGTCATATTTTCACCTTGTTATTCATACATTTATAAATGCCATAGTTCCAGACTAAATATTTAATTTACAAGCTAAACATTTAGTTTACAAACTGAATACTTAAATACTTAGTTGGTAAACTACTAGTTAATAAACAAAATATTTAAGTGTAAATTAAATATTTAATTTCCAAAATATCTCATTTCCAAACCAAATATTTAATTTCTAAGCTAAACATTTTATTTAATTTGCTAACTAAATATTTGGACCTAAATATTTAGCTTGCAAATTAAATATTTAGGTGAGTTAAATATTTAGTTAGCAGATAAAATATTTATTTTGGAAATTAAATGTTTAGCTTATAAATTAAAAATTTAGCTTCGAAATTACATATTTATTTTACACCTAAATATTTAGTTTACTAACTAAATATTTAAGTATTTAGTTTGTAAACTAAATATTTAGGTGTAAATTAAATATTTAATTTCCAAAATATTTAATTCCCAAACTAAATAATTTCTAAGCTAAACATTTAATTTCTAAGCTAAATATTTAATTTCTAAACGAAATATTTAATTTGCTAACTAAATATTTGAACCTAAATATTTAACTTAGGTGAGAGTTAAATATTTAGTTAGCAAATTAAATATTTATTTTGGAAATTAAATGCTTAGCTTAGAAATTAAATATTTAGCTTAGAAATTAAATATTTAAATTACACCTAAATATTTAGTTTACTAAATATTTAAGTATTTAGTTTTTAAAGTAAATATTTAGCTTGTAAATTAAATATTTAGTTTAACTGTGACATTTATAAATGTATGAATAGTATGGTGAAAATATGACTTTGGGAACAAAAGTATTTTTTAAATTATTATTAAAGGCTAAATAAACCAAAATATTGCTGTTAATTTTTGACTGTGTAACTTTACCAACGGCACCCCATACATTTAAACACTATTTTGTTTTGTTTTTTAAAAAGTAGGCCAAATTGTTTTGTATAGGCCAGGGGCGATTCTAGGATTATACATTTAGAGGTACTTAGCCCTCACTGACGATGACTCTTGGCTTGAACAACCCATGGTGTGGTTTGTGAGAAGTGCACCTGTTTTTCCCGGGCGGTCTCCCATCCAGTACTGACCAGGCTCGACCCAGATTAGCTTCTGAGATCAGACAAGATCGGGCTGATCCAGATGTTCAGGGTGTTATGGCCGTAAACGAGGAGCTCAGTCACAAATAAGACTTTTAAAGGATCATAACTAACAAAGACTAAACTTATTAACCAGAAGTTGCAACATGCAGTATATCTACACACAAAACGCACAAACCAAAGTACAACTAGCTTTAAGCATTAACCTTTAATTTAACCATTAACTTATCACTGAAAAGCGTTCGTAATGCAAAACATCAACATTGTTGTTGGAGGGAAAAGGGGTGGAGCTCCTGCAGGTAAGGGGCGTTTACCTTTGGGATGAATTGAGGTCACCGATTGGTCAGTTGTTGACGAGTGTACTGGATTGATTGACAGGTGGTGCCGAGGATACGACTCATGCAAAAAATAAAAAATAATCATAGCTTTTACTGGCCCGTTTAAGAGCGTCTTCATTTATTTCATATTTATTAAATATTTTAATGAATCTAAGATTTGAGAACTGAGTTTCCTTGGAAATCCTAATGATGGTTTCTTAATTTTTTAGGGGTGCTTGAGCACCCTAAAAAAAGAGGCTGAAATCTCCACTGTGGGTTCACATCTGGACACAAATGAGCTTCTTCCAAACTGAACTTGTAGGAGTAAATAAGCAGGACTCAATCAGGAGGTTTAGCTGATTAGCTTCACATGGTGCTAAGCTAATCAGCCACACGAAGGAAGCAGCGTGATGAAGATGAGAGCGAGCAGCTCTCTGACTGGCAGCAGAAGGACGTTGTCGGCTTATTTCGTTACAGTCAGGACTCATTAATGTCGTCCCAGGGGATCCTCTAACCTACAACACAGTCCACATGAGGATCGTTTTGGTCCCCGAGGTCCTAAAATCAACCGCGGTGGAGCCAAAGGCACCAAGCCGACGGTGCTTCGCTCAGCTGCAGCGCCACAGAACAAAGTTTGTTCTGCTTTTGTTTGGTTTGACATCAAAGCTGGGTTTTAAACGGGCTGGAGGAATGCAAGGTCAGTCTCTGTACCACATCTGGAAACAAACAACATCTACATTCTGAGAGCGCTGACGTTTGACTCTCTGGGAGACTTACCATGACTTTCTACGTCGACATGATTTTTATTATTCTTATTATTAATCTATAAATCCATCCTAATGATCATAAAACAATGCATGGCAACATCCACATTAAGTCAAGTCAACTTTATTTTTAAAACACATTTAAAAGCAGCAGCTGTTCCCAAAGTGTGTAACAATAAAATCAATGGGAGTAATTAAAGAAAAAAATAGTAAGATGTAATTAAATGCATCAAAATAAAAACATAAAAAAAAACACAAAAACAATAAAATACTAAATAAAATCACGCTGTGTTAAACGTCAGTGAAAACAAATGTGTTTTAGGAGAGATTTACAAACAGGAAGTGAAGTGGCCCATGTAATGTTGGGGGGCAGATCCCACGACTAAAAAAGCCCGATCTCCTCTGAGCTTCAACCAAAAGCAGATGATCAGATGAACTCAGCGCCCGAGAAGGAACAAATTGTTGAAGCAGGTCAGAGAGGTATGAGGGTGCAAGGTCATTTAAACTTAAAGGTCAACAGGAGAATTATAAAATCCATTCTGATACGTGCAGGGAGCCAGTGAAGGGAGGACAAAACTGGTGAAATGTGCTCAAACCTAAGAGTTCCTGTTAAGAGTCGAGCTGCAACATTTTGGACGAGCTGGAGACGTGAAGTGGAGACCTGACTGACCCCAACATAAAGCACGTTACAGTCTCGTCAGGTTGTAATGAAGCCATGGACTATTTTTCAAGGTCATAACTGGTCAAGAAAAACAAAGAAACGTTTTTGTTGACCAGAGTTAATCGGTTTATTGAACTTAAAGTCAGAGTCCAAAGCCATCCTGAGATTTGCAACAGACTGATTAAGATCTGGCTCAAGTGGGTCAAGCCATGAACACCAGCGTCGTCTTTCCGTAAGTCGACCAATAAATTAACATTAACGACAGTAGAATACAGAGAAAGTAACATTTGTAGCTTGCATCCAAGAAGTTTCTGCACCGAGCGTTGTTCTCAGGCCGTGTCCAGTTGGAGTGCTGAAAGATTGAGGGCGGGGCCACACGATTTTTACTCACCAGGACAGAAAACTTGCATCTACAGTTTGTCGAGTACTGCCTTGATTCTACCCTGAAGCTGTTTCCGAGCACTAAGATTAAACCTGTAGCCCTTTACTTGATGCTAACAGATCTGACGTCTTTTGCCCCACGGTTTAACTTCTGCCTTACGCTAAGTTTCATCTTTTACCCCTGACGCAAACGAACGAACAAAACAAACCACATACGTTTACAGTTTTTCACTAAATTTTCCAAAATCCCACAGGAAACATTTGCAAAACATAAGTTTCATGTATGTCACATGGTAATTCAACACAATTTCCCCTTTTCTTCTATAAGGACCCTTTTTTAATTCAGTCAACCTTTATTTAAACAGATAAATCACACTGAGCCTCCAAGACATTTACAAGTGAGGCCTGATTGGACAGACAATAAAGTGGTGAAAGTGACAACACAGGTTTTTGGAGACGGAAAAAAAAATCCTAACATGCTCTTAATCTTTGGCTGAAGATTAAAAGCATGAAAATGAAAAAAACCTCCGACTTGAGCACATAATGATGCTGACATTCCGCGGGGGGAATGCACGGGCGGTGAGCTTGTCCAGACACAACTTAGAGGCACTGCAAGAGTTACAGTAAAAGTGGTATAATAGCTCAGTTCTCATAGTTCCCTCTGGAGAGATAGGTACACTCTCGGGGGGGTGCTGAGGACGGCGTAGGGCGACGTCAGATAGAATCCAAAGAGTCCTGAAATGATGACAGAATGTTTCTTCAGCCAAGCCCCTCTGATTGATCCATATACTTCCTCTGTGATGGGGGGGACAGAGCGTCAAGGTTTAGAGCTTCCAGGCGAATTAAGATAAGGTGGACTGTCGAGACCAGTCAGGGAGCTGAATTCAGATAAACACAATTGTTTTGGGGACAGGAAGAACTTTACTGGTTATGTCTACCTTGAGTCTGTGTCGGTCCTCTCAGTTCTGAAACGTCCAAATGAAATGGCCACACCACTGGACCGTGCCTGAGCGTATTCCCCGAGATCTGATCCATCCTGCCAAAAGCAACTGAGTCTGGGTGCTCGAGGCACAAACCAAGCCATCACATAAGGCAGGCAGCCTGACCAGAGCCAAATCTGCTGCCGACGACTTCCCTGTTAGTTGATAAACCACGAACCAGATGAATCCAAAAGCAGGAAACCAGTTATAAATCAAGAAGCACATACAAAACTAAACATAAACTACATTTATAAGAATTACAAACTGTTTTATGTGAGCTCGTGAAATGAGCTGGAATGGACCTCGGTCTGCTTCAAGACGCGCTGATGTGCAGAACAAATTCCAGTTTTTACACACGTGTGTCACAACGGGTGCTGCTCACTGAAAATATTTAAGTGTTATCGATGCTCACAGACATGGTGGTCAGTACTGTTTCCTAAAAATCACAATGCGTTTATTTCATCAGAAGTACGTGGATCCGTTCACAGGAAGTTCCGCTGGTTTCAGTGCACGAGGAGGAAATCCTATTAAGAAAGATAAAATATATGTTTGTACATCTGCTGACGGTGCCGAACCTCTGTCCAGAGGGTGCGTGACAAGTTTTTCCAACCATTTATAATTTCTTCTCCTATTACCTGATTCAGCACAATGTCAGTTGAATGGAAGTAAAGTGGAAAAAATGGAAATAATTGTTTTTTTGGGTAAAAAGAGACAAAAGAGAAATTTTCACAATCCACTTAAATGCACCAAAAGCTTAATTTGTGCATAGAAGAAAGGGTTTTATAATTATTCAGAATGGTGTGGGCGGAGCCTTGGACTACTAACGAGCTATTTTAAATTTTTATAGAAAGTCAACATAATCGTTTGTGTGTGTGTGTGTGTGTGTGTGTGTGTGTAGGTCCTGTTGGCGTTTGCTAACGGCTTAAACCAGCTCTATTTCTACTACGAGACCAAGGCGTCTGAAGAACCAAACAACTGCAAAGGAATCCGCTGTGAAAAGCAGAACAACGCCTTCTCCACGTGAGTACCACCTCTGTGAAACCCCCCCCCCCCCCCCCGATGTGTTTACTGACAGCGGTGATGAAGTCAGGCAGCAGTCCGTCTGAATTCATGAATACAAAGTTTGTGTCAGAGCCCCCACAGTTCCCCTCTTACACTCGTTTTATGCCTCGATACAGCACATAATGATATGGAAACGATTTTCTGTGTCAGGAGTGAAGAATATTAATGTGTTGGGGGGGGGGGGGGGTCACCCGTGTGAGACGGGAATATTTGCAAACAGAAAAGGAGTCGGGGCTGGTCGACTCAGAGGCTGAGTTGGAGTTGGGGTTGGTTAACGGATCTGCGAGCGACGGGTTCAGATTGTTGCTGAGGAGGGAAGAGCAGCTGCCAAGCACAATGTAAATCAGGCGCCGTTTGTTTTGGATAAATGTTGTATTGATCCGTGATCGATCCCATTACAGCCCAGCTTTTGGCACAACGACCGTGAACACATGTTAAAGCAAAAGGTCACGCTCAACCTTCAGCTGTCCTGTGCCGACTGTTCAGTGTATTTTAGAGAAACTTGATCACCAACATCAATCAATACCTGCACAATCATTTGCTCCACTCTGGACCCTTGAGCAAGGCCCTTAACCCCCACCATCTGCTCCCCCAGGCGCCCTAGATGGCAGCTCTCTGCTCCACACAGAGGGCTGTGGTAGTTCAGTGGTCTGCGGCTGCATCAGGAAGGGCGTCCAGCGTAAATCATCAGTAGACTATCATGCAGTTCAGTAATCCCTGGGATGCTGAATGCACGAGGTGAATCGTGTTTTTCTTGTTTTATTGTTCCCAACTCTGAAGTTGTGCAATCAGGCCGATATAGTTATAATCTGCTCCGCTTGTTTTGTCCAGCGTAGACATCCTCAGGTGCAGAGTTGTCATTCTGAAACCGGAGCAACATACTGAACACGGAAATAAAGCCAAGGTCTTATCATGTTAGTGTCAACACGATCCAACGTCACTGGTTCACCACCGTTAGCATCACATGTTGGTGTAAAATCCTGAGCCATCCAGGACATGACAAATCTAAAACATAAATAAATAAACTAATGAATTAATTAATTAATTAAAATAAGAACAACAGGAGTTCAGTTCAGTAGCTGAAGGGCTTTAAACAACATCGATATTATCATTATTTGGAAAGATCTGCGTACGTCTTTAATGGCGTGAAACTCGGATGAAATGGGACGTGACAGTTTTGAAACACGTCACATATGTCTCTGTCATAACAAATGTCCAAAAGTAAAAAAGGTTTCAGTAAAAATGCTTCCAGTGGCACAGCATCTGATACTACAGAGCCCCGGAGGGGACATGGGGGATTTTTCTTTTTTACTTTTGCGTTCCCTCGCAGTACTGGACTGTATGTAGTGTTACCTCACAGACGAGAACCGTTCCTCCCTCAATGAAACTGGTCCAGATGACATGATTTAAAGGAGTTTTGTTTTGAAATCAGCCTTAAATATAAGGATATCCAGTGTGTGCTGAAGTGGTAAAATTAGTTTTACGTTGGATATTTCACGTTCATGCGCCGTGGATTCAGGACTTCCTCGTTCCAGCCGACGCAGACGGTCTGATTTCAGTCAGCTGTTCAGTCCTTCCCTCCGAGGAGCGATGGTTCTCTTAGGGACCGTCAACAAATTACCGGGCTAATGAGCTTGGACTAAACAATGTTATAATATTTTAGATATATTTCCAGAGTATTTGTCAAAGCAGCGCCATAAGTTTTCTCAGTATATTTCTACATGGTAATAAATCATGAATTTTCTCACCATTTAAAATACAAAAGAACAAGTTGGCACTCGTGTTTCAAAAGTACTGCCACTTTCTTTTAAAGCATCAAAGTTCATTCAAGGATTCAGAGATTCAAGATTCTTTATTTGTCATTCGCACCACATGTGGTGCATGTGGTGGAACGAAATTGTGTCCACAGCGTCCCGGTTACATCCAACAAAAGTATTAAGATGTGTGTAAAAGAAAAACAGTAATGAGATCTAAGACATGAACTAAAAAAACGTTAACTAAAAACATACTAAGCACACACTTCAGGAGGGCTTCATCAGTCTGAGGAGTCCCAAGTAAACTGTTTTCCCACTAAGCAGTTTGCTGGTTTTGCTTGTGACTGATGAAGCCCTCCGGATGGTGGGCGAAACGTCTTTCCACAAAAAAAGAAACTGTCCAGATGACCTGACTGACCGTTATTGTATTTTGTACCTGGATGATTGAACATGAACTTTGATGATTTAAGAGAGTTACAGTACTTTTGAAATGCAAGTGCCACCTTGTTCTTTTGGATTTAAAATGGTGATAATTCATGATTTATTACCATGTAGATATATACTGAGAAAACTTTAGTTATGATACTTAGTGCTGCTTTGACAAATACTCTGAAAATACAGTCATTTGTTGACAGTCCCTAAGAGAACCATCGCTCCTCGGCGTGACAGACAGAGCAGCTGACTGAAATCAGACTGTCTGCATCTGCATCGGCTCGAACGAGGAAGCCACCGCTGAATCCACGGAGCATGAACGTGAAATATCCAACGTAGAACTAAACTGACCACTGCAGCACACACTGGATCAAAATTCAATTCAGTTTATTTATATAGCGCCAAGTCACAAACTCCATGAACCTCAAGTACGGGTGTCTGTTCCATTGCTGCTGTTTGTGAGGTAACACTGCATACGAGGAAGCATTGCGAGGGAACGCAAAAGACAAAAATCTCCCACGTCCCCTCCGGGGCTCCGTAGATACCAGAGGAAGTAATCATCCGAAAAAAGTGATTTAGAAAGAAAAAAAAAAGAAGAAGAATAGAAAAAAAGAGTAATTAAAGCTTAAAAAGTAAAATCTCCGAATGAACGAGCTACTCCAACATGCAGCCACCTTGAGCGGCGCAACCCCAGAATCCAGAACGTCCACAGCGCTTCCTGTTCAGAGAGTCTGGATTGTGAAAGTGAAAGTAAAGTAACATAATCACGTTTTATTGGCTTAGTGTCATTAATGTTAAGATATCTTCGATTGTTTTAACGTTACGTTAAAACTGAAGGCCTAGCTCTCGTAGTCACGGTACGCTCACACCATAAAATCCACTCGGAGGTCCCCGCCTAAAATAAAACCCTGAGGGAGAGCGGACAACCTCCGTGAAACCCGCCGCAGCTTCTCTGTGGATTTACCACCTGTTCTTCGGCTCTGATACGCCGCTGATGGAGCACAAGCCGAGGGAAAGGAATCGGCGTCGCACCGAAGCTAAATGAGCATGCAGAGCGGCGAGGAGACGGATGAGATGACGCATTCTGTCAACGGCGTGATTGCAGCCCCACAGGCAGCGCAGCCGGCATCGTTATTCATGAGTTTACAATACGGGGATTATTTCCTTTGTGTGTGTGTGTGTTGCACACTGCTCTCCAACTCTGTTATTCACACACACTCATCGAGATTCAGGAGTTATTTTCACGAGATCGTTTCCTGTTTCAGCCCAGGTGTCTCCCCTCCTCCCCCTCCTCACACTCATCTGTACTTTGCACACTTATCACCGATAATGTGTCGGATCGTTTCACACCAGGACGCGACGCAAGTGTGCGCGCGCGTCTGCTTCCCCTTTTTCTTTGCCTTCGCACAAGTCCTGTAAATACTCCCCTCATCTTTCACACTCTGCAGCTCCATGTCTGTTTTCTTTCACGCGCAGCTCCTTTCTCTGGGATTTGCACAGTTCTCCTCGTCTCTCTCCTGCAGCACGAGTCCTTCTTGTTTTTCTGAGTCACTGAATGTAACAATGGAAGGCGCTCGTTGAAGGAAGGCCTAGCATTCCTTGAAGGAATGCCTGTCACCCACCACCATGCACGTCAGAGTTTTACACTAAAATCTTTTGGACGATGGAGTCAACCTAACGCTACAATATTGGCCTCGCTGGGCTCGAAGTGTGCTAAAAGACTCTCAGCTACTACCACGTCCATTTTAGCTCAGTATGTCAGGTTTAACTGGGATGGACCCAAGAAAACAGATTGACACAAAAAAAACTAAAGTAAAAGGAACTTAAAGCTTCATTAAAGGACGACAAGCTGTACTCCGAGGTCCCCCATCACTGAGAGATTTGAAAAGAGAGTGGCTGTAGTTTTCAAGATGAGTGTATTGACGTCAGAAGCATTTGAAATGTGTGGGGGACACGCTGGTGGTGGTTCTGGGGGTCCTCCCCCAGAAAATCTTGAATAAAGTTGTCATTTCTTGCATTCTGTTGTATTTTAATGGTTTGTTCAACATCTACGTTCTACATAATTAAAAACTTAATTCAGTAACTATTTTAGAGTACAGCACAAGAAGTAATCTGACCAACAGCTCTCCCTGTGTGAATAGAGCACGCTCCGCTTCTCTCACCCCAACCCCCCTCGAAAATTGCCAGAACTAACATAGCATTAAGCTAACGGCGTGGCAGTAACACTTTAAAAAGACAAAGAACTCAAGACGGCGTGGAGGAAACCACCTGAACAAGTCAGAGAATCTGAACCTCTGAATGGTGGATGAGAGAATTTACGGCGTGGAGGTGATGAGAAGAGTGGCTGCAGCTGTGAGTAATGTGACAGGGAACAGGTGCAAATGGGCGGGGCAGACTGGCAAGCCAAGCCTTGTTTGTGTTTTCTAAAGTCACTTGACCATGGCAGCCATGTCAAACTGGGTGGACTCCAAACGTTACCCAGTTGTAGATCTACGTTCAGAGAGTGATTTCTCTTTGTTTCATTAAAATCCATTCAGTGGTGACTGATAGTTGGGGCACTGTTTTAAACATGCTTCAGGTGTTTGTGGCCAAACCTCTGTCTTTGTCATTTGATTGTAAATCTTTTCTCCAGTTGTTGCAAACATCTATTGATGCACTTGGACATGTCAGTGATGGTACCTGGTACTATGGGGGGCGTTCAACATGAGAGCCTCTCTCCCAGGCGACCTGACTGAGAAGGATCAATTCCCAATCTGTGTCCAAGAAGCACTAAACCACTGCCTGTCCCTCACGATGCACAACCATCCTGAGGTCTTCTCTGCAGCTTCTCAGGACTCGTTGATGATTAAGTGCTCCTTTGATGCCCAGGAGGCTGTATGATGTACTTCCTGCTTCTTACTGCTTCCTTCCTTACTTGATGGGCATACATCTGGTCTCTGTGGTGTTCTCTAGAAATCAGAGCCCTTCATCCAGGTCCACCCTCATTAGTCAGTCAGATACCGTTCCCTGGTGACCTTCTCGTGCCTTTGATTGACACTGATACGGTTCTCCTGCTTGAATCAGTGTGATCTGACGTGCTGATGGTTGGAAACATTTCCTTTGGTCATTAGCGCTGCAGGTGGACTCTGCTGCCGCCTTCAACAGAAGATATTTGGCTTGTCCACACGTGCAGCTGCTGGTTGTGCACGAGCCTCACGTGTTACTGATCCTAATTCTGTTGGCCCTGGTTTGTTTCTGTTCTTGTTTTTTTTGTTTGTTTGTTTACTTGCAGTCATTAGTGGTTATTTGCATCAAGAACCTGCATTTTGGATCCTTTTTTTTCTCCATATTAAACCTAATTGATCAGTTTTATGTGAGAACATGTAAACCTGTTCGGCTGCAAATTTACGGACCGTTGACTCTTCATCACGTGTCGTTGCTGCTGCTCGCATAAACACAGACTTTATTTCCACTTTTGACTCGTCATCTGTGAGCAAAACTCTTCATGACGTCGAAAAAGGTTCTTTCTTCTGAATCCGTCCAGAGGACCGGACTTTACCTTTTTAGATTCTTCTACCTGAGGGCAGCAGAGTCCAGACCTCTGAGGCACGTCGCAGGTTGCTTTGTAATCTGTTATCTTTTAGCTTTCCAAAGCAAGAATCTTTTTAGGTGTGTTTTCACCTGTTTGATGCCTGAGAAAAGCACGTACACACACACACCTCCGCACACACACCCACACACTGCGTGCGTCTCCTCCTCGGTTCACCTCCCACAGAGCAGCAGGAGTATAACGGTGAAATGACTGAGTGGCTGTGAGAATCAGCTGGAGCAGTTTATGACTCGGTTTAGTGGAGTGAGAGATGAGACGAGCAGAGGAAGAGGAGGGACAGAGGAGGAGGAAGGACGGACAGCCGGATGGACGGAGAAGAAAACAGCCGAAGACTCGACGTTCATCCAGCGATGGCGACTTAGAAATGATCCAGGCTGAGTCGGAGCGACAAAAACTCACAGCACAGCCGCCGATTACTTCCTGAACCCGTCCAGTGGTGCATGAGATATTTTACTAACAGAGTTCATCCTAACGGTTAATGCTAATGTTTTAATCAAAGGTCATGTGCAGTGAGTGGCACTTGGAGTGTTGTGAATGGCTCTCGGCTTCTGCTGCGCCACATTTTAGCTCGTAGTCTGTAACATCAGCTGAATTATTTAAGTCTGTTTCCTGAGTTCAGTTGGTTCAGAATGGTGGCGACGTTTTAATTTTGGTTCAGTGCACAGATTTAGCTGAAGGTTAGTCTCAGCTACTGTTGGTGTTTCGGCTGCTCCCCACTGCAGGGGTCGCCGCAGTGAGCGAACTCACGTGAAAGATTCGGTGTTTTACGCCGGCTGCTCTTCCTGACTCCACCTGGGCTCAAACTAAGACTGCTGAGCTACTACCACATGATTTTAGGTCTGCTGATCTGAGATGAAGCTGAAGATTTTGAAGGAAGTGATCCTGCTTTGTTTTCCTATTAGTACCACAGCATGATGATACCACCACCGTGCTTGGCATTGTTGGGTTTGAAAGCCTCTGGATCATTCCTGAACATCCAGATTTACTTACATCCAAGGACTGATCCATGATAAATTTTCCAAAACAACCTTTTTATTTGTCAGTTTTGCAAAGATGGAATCATTATTAGAAAAGTCTTCATCCTCACAGAAACATTGAAAATCACCTGGAACAGTGCTCACAGACTTACTTCACAGATGCATACACTCATTTGCGCACACACTCCCCTCAACCCACCGCTGTCGGTGTGGTAACCTAGGTTGGATGCAAGGCACCAGGTAGCTGTGATGCTCTCCTGGGTGGCCAGTGCTGGGAGCCCCCCCCCCCACCGCTTTTTTTTTTTTTTTTGTGCTGAGGTTTTTTGCAACCTCAAACTGTGTCCTGTTAGGGATACAGTATGATATATATTTTTAACCTCTTCTTTCCTTCGGGTTCCCTTTTCCTTATCTAACGAAAAAAGGCAGCGCCTCTCATGAGGCTGCAGCCTCAGGCACCCCCGTCTTCCCATGTATGTTATTCGGTTGTTTGTGTTTCTTTGGATGGACTGTACGGAAATGTAATTTCGTTGTGCTTCGGTGCAATGACAATAAAGGCTGATTCTGATTCTCATGACATCCCTGCTTTATGAAGCAGTGTTTTTGTTGTTTACATGATGACTGAAGTGTTGTTTAAGATTTTATTTTAAAAAAAGCTTTTAGTAGTTCCTAACATGCGGTTTCCAGTAGGCTCAAGGCTGAAACAATAAATGTGCGATCCATCTAACCCAGTGAGTTCTGTCGAACTGTTTTTCATTCTAGTGAAGATAAACTACCGGCTGCGGTCGATCATGAGCACCAACTACAAGTTAGTCCTTTCATATCCAACAAACTGGGAGTTAGATTAAAAAAGGTGGAAAATAAGATAATAAGGAACAAAAACAGAGTTTTGTCCCGTCCTGTGTCGTTGTTCTTGGTTTTCCTCGTCTTCCTGGTTTCATAACTGGCACATTGTCACACTTGGTTACTTCATTCATCTTTGATTTAATTCTCCATCTCCCCCGGTCTCTTTTCTCGCTTTCACAACACTGAGTGCCCCCCCCCCCCCCCGACTTTCGCTGCCTCTCACAGAAACACATTTCACCTCGGCCCACACCTGCACACCATCGCTCACCTGATGTCTGTGCTGATTGATGCGCTGATCACTCGGTTCTGCTGGGAGAAGAAACGCTGCAGCCCCGAATGTTTCGTGCGACATAAACGTCGCCTCCGTCTGCGTCGCTCGCTCGCTGCGGCGTCGAGCGCTGACGATCGTTGCTTCATCAAAAATTCAATAAACGGCCCAGAACAGGGACTGTCGCACAGAGAGAGCACGAAGAGACACGGGGAGACAAACGGAGGACAGAGATGGGCGAGGGGGAGACGCAGAGACGCTGAAGATGAAATAATAAACTGTGAACGATGTTAAAGGAGGTGTTACGTGGAAGGAGAGACGATGAGGAGGTGCATAGCATCAACGTGTCCCACAAAATGATGAAACGGTCACAAAGTTGTTTGTTGAACCGACTGCCGGAGACCAAATGAAACGAGTCTACTGGGTTTAGAAAATAACTTTTCACTGGTCAATGTCTTCACCACGACCGACCAAAACAACGGCCTCATTACTTAAGTAAGGGCTCCATGTTGATAAATGGAGAATCCTTTAAAATCATCCTCACTGTTGACGTCCGGTTTTCTTCCGTATGGTTTTCAGCATGTAACACGCCGCGCAGTTTTTGTTTTATTTCAACAGTTCATGTCTCAAAACGTTCGGCTCGTTCTGGACGTTCCTGCTACAACTTTAGCTGTTTGTGCACTTTTCACTTTTTGATATATTTAGCTTTTTCAACTTGTTTTTAACATTTATTTTTAAATATGATTGAGCTCTCCATATCTTTCAAAACGTTTGTGATGTTTGAATGTTTGACTCGTTTCAGCTTCTTTGTTCTAATTTCAGCTTTTATCTGCGTTTTCATTTACTTTATAGTAATTTTTGTGTTTTTCTACTATTTTTTATTTTGTTTATTCTTTGCTTATTTCTGCCTTTTGTGCTTTGTTAAATAATTTCAACTTTTTATGCTCTTTTCAGCTTTTATCTGCTAACTTCAGCTTTTTCAACCTATTTTCAGCTAATTTCATCTTTTTTCTGCTTCTTTCAGTTTCTTTTTTGCTACATTTGGATATATTTTTTAAATCTCATCAGCCTCTTTCTGCTTATTTCAGCTTATTCTGTCAATTTCTGCTTCATTTCTGCTCTATTCAGCTTTTTCTACACATTTTGGCAGGTTGTTTTTTTTTTGGCTGCTTCCAGCTTTTATTTCCCCCCTTTATGTCAGCTGGTTGCTAATGCTAAACTTGCATTAATAGTTTAGAAGTGAAACATTTTCAGCAGGCTTCAGCAAAAGTCCTTCAGCAACAAGCGTTCACGCCACATTTTCACAGGAAGCGCCGTTTCTCCAATATTTTAATCAAGTTTCTTCTCCTCGGGTTTCATTTTGCTGATTGCTCATAAACGCTGCGTCTGTTTGTCTTCAGGCTGTTCGAGACTCTCCAGTCCCTCTTCTGGTCCATCTTCGGGTTGCTGAACCTGTACGTGACCAACGTGAAGGCTCGGCACGAGTTCACAGAGTTCGTCGGGGCGACGATGTTCGGGACGTACAACGTGATCTCGCTGGTGGTCCTGCTCAACATGCTGATCGCCATGATGAACAACTCGTACCAGCTCATCGCCGTGAGTCACCGCCAGATCCCAATCTGAAACTCTGAGTGGATCTCAGCTCGTTTGGCTGTTTTAGGTGCATCGTGCTGATTAGGGTCTCTAACGTGGACCTCATGTTTGATGCTCCTCTGGTTTGGGTTGTCGGCTCCAGCCAGCAGCTGGAATCGAATGTGTTTGGACCTTCAAACAGCTGAAAGCTTTCAAAGCGTTAAAATAGTTTAGTAGATGGACTGAGAAGTTTATAATTACTCTGAGCCCCATGATCCGTGCACATTTGAAGCTACAGGCCAATCAGTTTGCAGGAAGGGCTCATGATCATAGCGTGCACGAATCAATCAACTGACATGGGTTTTACGACCCGAGTTCGCTCGATTAGACAACAGAAGAACCAGAAAAAGTGTCTTTACGATTGAGTTATGAAAATGTAACATTTCTAACAATCTGACACTCCTTTTCATAACACAACATGTAAAGAGACTGTGTCATCCCACAGCCAAATAATCATTTTAGACTCAGTAACACAAAACTATTAATACCACGCGGATCAGTTTTGACCAAGAACTCACACAAAAAATAAAAACCTTCTGAGGCTTTATTTAAAACGTTAAATGATTTACAAACACATCCTTTATAAACGCTGACCTGTGGTGAACATGAAGTATATTTTTAGCAGAATTATACATTATCTTACTGAAATGTATGGTTATATGTATTTATGTTTTTGCAGTATCTTATTCGTGTGTTAAAACAAGGCAGATCTGATTTCCAGTTTTCTTTCCGGTAGAAAATGTAGTTTTAGTTACGCCTACAAATCCCAAGGTGCCACATTCATCCACCATTTTGAAACGGAAGATGGCGAGGTTTCATTGGTTGAGAGCTGGTCACATGAAAGAGAGCGGGGCTTCCCATTGGTCGACGGAGGTGACTCCTCCTGGGAGGTGTGGCCAAGCTCTGAAGAAAATATGTGTTTGAGTAACGCTCGCTAGTGGCGTTCGATACCACGGTTTCCTTTCCGATACCAATACTGGATAAAATCCAGGCTGCTGTCGACAATACCGATCTGATACGATACTTTGTGCAAATACACCCATAATGTGTCTGGTAAATATTTTTAAAAAGCAGTATAGTTCAAATCTAAGCTTCATAAAGAATACATTACATGAAAGTAATTTATTTATTTTAAACTCTGGAGTATATCTAGATAGTGGCCTAAGCTTTTACAGACTGAAAGACTGACTGAGCAGCGTGCCACTGTGCTTACCCAGGTGGAAGTAAAAGTAATTCCCACCAACCGCGTATCAATTAGACAAGATCTCATTAGTTTAGTTACTTCCCACTATGTTCCTGTTAAAGATATACATTACCTGAAATGACTAAAGTATCAAAAGTATTGATCATTTGATTTGAGAATCGATTCTAGAGCATAAAGTTCTGGTATCCAGAGTATCGATATTTCAGTTTTGATTTGCACATCACCAACGGCCCTTACTGAAAACCACATGACGTAGACGATGGTGGCCCAGCGCAGTTGGTTTTTGTACCTTACATGTGTAAAAAATAAACCTGAAAATGGATGACGGTCGCTCCTCCCGAGCTGCTTCAGACAAATGAACAATCTTTCAAACAGCACATTAACAGAATCTTTATATTATCGTCTTTTTATTTAAGCAAAGCCAGCTTGGGTACTATTGAGGCTTATATGGGATGAAAGCAAAGATCTAAAATTGTTCATAAGGGAAGATGATAAATAAACAAGTTATAGCGACACATGGGATAGTAGCATGGCTTCGTATACGGGCGGCCATTTTTCATCAAGAACACAAACGTATTGAGCAGGGAATGAACACGATAGGAGGTTAAAATGGATTAATTCCTCTGAGCACCGATGACTACCAGAAATGCCTCCAATGATTGTCCAGATTTAATGTCCAACCAGCTAAAATCCTTATTGTGCAGCCGTTGGTTTCAGCTGGCAGTCATCTGAAACATTTCCGCCCCTTCACGTTAAAACAAAAACCACCAATCAAAAGTTACCCAACGAACCGGACCCTCCAGTTCTTAAGGTCTCCTTCTTGTCTGCAGGACCACGCCGACATCGAGTGGAAGTTCGCCCGCACCAAGCTGTGGATGAGCTACTTTGACGAGGGCGGCACGCTGCCGCCGCCGTTCAACATCATCCCCAGCCCCAAGTCCGTGTGGTACCTGCTCATGTGGCTCCACACCAAGCTGTGCAGGAGAGGCCAGCCACCCAGGGAGAGCTCGCACAAGTGTGAAAACCTCCGGGAGTTCACGGTGAGCGGGGACGACGGAGAGGCGCACACGGTTCTGACGCCGCTCCGAGGTTTATCTGGACGTGTTTTATTTTTGAATGTCCTTTTGGTTGATGTCTTTATTTGATGTGGAGCATCAGAAGCTGATGCACTCGAGCACAGCTGGCAGAGAGACGGGAATGCATATACGGCGCCTCCTTTTCAACTCCTTTGAGATTTGGGGCTGTAGCTGAGATTAAAGTTTCCAAAAGCAAAATCTTAGCATGAAATTAACAGAGCTGCTCCAAAATGCAGCCACCCCGAGCGGCGCAATTAAAGAAATAATTATTTTGGTCATTTGGAAACGATTAAAATTGACAATGTTTACAAAGTTTTGTGGTTTTTTTACTTAATATTGTGAATGCAGATTCAATCATAATACTGTTTCTCTCATTTACTTTTTGATAATTTAAGCCAAGATTTTGCAGCCTTTAGTTAACTTTGGCTACTTTGAGCCAGTTTGTTAATGTTTACGCCGATGATGAAGTGATTGTGCAGCAGCAGCAGTGATGAGCACAGCACACGGAGGCAGGTGGAGTGTAGGGGCTCGACAACACACCCCTGGATCCTCATGGTGCACCCATTGTTCTTCCTCATCCTCCAAATTCAAGATCACCCCGACTGACGCCTGCCACAGTTAAGACACTGACTGTTCTCGACTAGTCCGCAGATCTACCCTTTAGGAAAGCGAACTCTTGCTGCGCGCAGCGACAGAAAACAGAAAAACGTTCCCGCCGCTCGTGGACGGACATCGGCTGAAGGCACAGGCGGAACAGAAAAACACGTCCTGATAAACGCGTTAGCAGTCCAGTCATCTGGAGACGGAGCGATCAGTGCACGGTGATGAAGCTTTTTCACACCATCACACACTCACATGCGCATGTGCGCACGGTGCAGCTGGCGTATTCACCTCAGCTGAAATCAGCTGAGTTATGTAAGCCGTCCAGCCCACATAGGTTCAGCAGCTCTGCAGAGATCTGATGGCAGCAGACTTTGTGTTTGTGTTCACGATCAGACGAGCTGAGAGATTCAGAAAGTAAGGATTGCTCTGTAGCGGGGGGGGGGGGGGGGGGTCACAGGATGATTTGGATGGAAACAGGTTTGAGTGTGAGGAAGTGAACAACAGGAAACGAGTGAAACGAGTGAAACACTGGATACTTAACAAAAAGATGTTTCTCACTTTGACAGAGGAAATAATAGTAAAACATTTTTATTTAGTTGTGAGAACTCACATTAAGTCACAAAGAAATCATGAAGGGTAAGAACAGCCTAAAGCAAACTGAAGGTCCACAGGCCAGATATGGCCCCAGTTATAACTTTATCCGGTCCGAGAGAATGTTTGAAATGTTCCAAGAGGCACTTCAGAGCTGATGTTGCTTCAGACACTGAGGATACCTGGACCAGACTTCTGACAATTATCCAACTTCAGGGCTGGAAAAATACGTTTGAATTCTTCAGTAGACGTTTAGTTTGGTTTGGAAAAACAACAAAAGCATCTAAATGCATGCAGCATCCTCAGGTCCAACAACTGGTCTCCTCAAATCCAACACCTGGTCTCCGCAGGTCCATATACTGGTCTCCTGACATAACCTCTTCCTAAGAGTAAAGGCTGATGTGCAAACTCAGTGCCCAGTATCAAAGTTCATGCTCAATAAACCAGGTTTAAAAAAACAACAAGAAAGTTAAGTCAGGTCCTCTGGATGGTTTCTTTGTGTTGAGACGTTTCATCCTTCAGCCAAAGGACTTCATCAGTCCAAGGAGCCAAAACAAACTCAGTCATATAAATAGCACCTTCACATAATGGATCAACCAGTTTGATGGTGATAAGATGGTTTCTGGAGTCCGCCCTCTCCCCTGTCGACTCCTCTGAGTCATGGTCAAGGTGGTTCAAAACATCAAAAGATCTGTCCAGAGGACGTGACTTAACTTTGTTGGATGTGTTACCTGGATTATTGAGCATGAACTTTGATGATTTGAACCAATTCGGCCATGGTTGCCTCAGAGGAGTCGACGGGGGAGAAAAACCATCTTATCACCATCAAACTGGTTGATCCACTATGTGAAGGCGCTATTTATCAGACTGAGTTTGTTGTGGCTCCTCGTACTGATGAAGTCCTTTGGATGAAGGCCCAAAACGTCTCAACAAAAACAAGAAACTGTCCAGAGGACTTGAATTAACTTTGTTGGACAGCACCCCGTTTACTTTATAAGAATATTTTCCTTTTTATCTTTTTTTATGCTGACCAGGTTCTAGCCTGATATTTTTCTGTTGAACCATGTTTGTCAAACTGAGCTGCAGCATCAGAGACGGTGCCAAAGATAAAACGGAGTGAATTGTCCAGCGTTGGTGCTTCACCTCCCTACATTAACCCTGAACTCCCAGAGCACCTGATTCAATGGGATCCCTCGTTTAAAGAGGTTAATCTGGTGATTTATAGCAGAAGAATTCACGTTCTTGGTTATTTCTGGGACTTTTCAGATGAGAGCATCAGCTGTGGACCTGGACTGTAAATGTGGAGTGTAACTTTTCTCTCTTGGATCATATTTATACGTTTTGACTGTGAGAAATGATTAAGTGAAGTTCATAACGGCATCTATTCAGTACGGTCAGTCCAGGACTGAGTGTCGTTCTTTCAGCCAAAAGCCATCCGTTACCCGTCTGCTGTGCTCCAGGTCGGTGCTGTTACAAAGAGCAGTGGGCGTATTCAATTTTTTTAGGTGCCGTATGTGAAATATCAGCCTGCCTGAGAAGAATAATGAGGCAACGGAGCGAGGGATGAAGGGAGAGTAATAACCGAGGGGACTGGCGCCAACAGAACCAGGAAGTGATGTGGAGAGAAGCGTGTTTTTAACCTCAGCTCTTGTGTTTTTATTTCAGGAGCGTCACGCCGACAGTCTGATCCAGAACCAGCATTACCAGGTCAGTACTTCTTGTTTTCTCGTTTCTTTTTGTGAAACTTTGACCGTATCTTCATACAGATCTTCAGCAGAAGGAATCATGAAGTCCTGTAAAACATTCTGGTAGACTGTTGCGGTGACCTTGGATTTAAGAAAGCAGAGTTTACCAACACCTGCACCGGACACTGCACCCAGATCATGACTGACTGTGGATATTTCACACTGGACCTCAACCAGTATGGGCTCTGTTCCTCACCCTTCTTCCTCCAAACCCTTGGTCCTTGATTTTCAAATGAAAGGCACACTTTACGTTCATCTGAAAAGAGAACTTTGGACCACTGGCCAACAGTCCAGCCCTTTTTCTCCTTGGCCCAGTTGAGACGCTTCCTAAGTTGGCTCAGGTTCAGAAGTGGCTGGACCCGAGGAACCCGACAGTTGTAGCCCATCTCCCAGATGTGTCTGAATGTGTTGGTTTTTGAAGCTGTGACTCCCGCCTCATTCCACTCTTTCTGGATCTTCTGTTTGATAACCCGCTGAAGCCCACGGTCATCTCTGTTGCTGGTGCATCTCCTGCCACATTTTGTCCTTCCACTAGACTTTCCATTGATGTGCTTGGACACAGCACTCTGTGAACAGCCAGCCTCCTTAGCTATGAACTGTTTGTGGCTTACCCATCCTATGGAGGGCATCAGTGATGGTCTTCTGACCAGTTGTTATGTCTGCAGTCTTCCCCATATTGAACCGAACTGAGACAATTGAACCAAACTGAAGCAATTTAATGACACCTGGGGAAACCTGTGCCGGTGCTTTGAGTTTAGTAGATGATTAGTGTCACACTCAGTTTAAAACATGCATGCCCTGCAACATTTGGGCTGATTTCTTCACAGTATTCTAATTTTTTGAAATCATGTTTTCATGGGTTTCATGAGCTGGAAGCTCAAATTATGTAAAAATAAACAAATAAATACTTGAAATTGTTTAAATTGTGGGCCCTGAATCTATCATCTATTAAAGATTAACTTTTTGAATGGAATTATGGAAATTACACAACTTTTCCATGATATTCTAACATATATATATATATATATATATATATATATATATATGTGATGGTGACTATCTTGGAGTGTGATGTGGCAATCCGTTTTTTCATCTGAACCTTTTTCACTCCCAGCTGCTGCAGCCACGCACCAACATGGAAGTCGACACCTTGTTTGTTTATTTTTCAAGTTATCGTGCTCAAAACGTGCACGGACGGAGGGCATTTCCAATTCTCCCTCTTGGCTCCTCGACGAGGGACAGGAAGCTGCAGCTGAATGCAGTTGTCAGCGTGAACTCCAGGAGCGTTCGATTCTCTCCGACGTCTCTAATCGTTAGTTTCAGCTGCAGCAAAATTAAAACGGAAAGGAGAATGTGTTTCTCTCAGCCTGGATTCCTTCTCTTCCTTCCTGGTTTTGTTCTCTTCACCTCAGCTGTGCAGGAAATGTAGTTTTTTTTTTCAATAAGTTCTTTTTTTTAAGTGTTTTTATTTCTCATCTCTGAAAGTAAACACAGCAGCCAATTAGTTATCTGTATTAGACACCTCCAGTCGAGACAATCACACTTTGTTTTGTTGGAAAGAAACGCCTGGTGGTAAATTAATTTCTCTTCAGGAGGCCGCGCGCTGTGATTTCACTTCAGGACAAATCGACGCGACTCAGCCGACCAGCAGCTAACAACACTAATAAGAAGCTTGATGAAGCTTCTGGATGCTGCGCCGTAACCAATCGTACATCCTGGAATGAAACAGAACGCGCAGCTGTGACCGCAAACTTTCAGATTTAAAGAGATTTAAAGTTTTTTCACCAGATATAAATTTACAGGTGAGCCTGACTGAAAGTGGGTGGGCCACGAAGTTTAAAATATATTTTAAAATGCGTGAAAAATGTGTGTTTGCATGTCATTTGTAGAGATGAAATGCTCCTGTGCAGGTCTCCGAATCAAACCAACCTACTGCTGCATCACCTGCAGAACAAACTGTGTTCAGAGATCCCAGAGAAACAACTGAAACACAACGATGACCACGGTCTAAATCTGAAATGTGCAGTCAAAGCCCACAGACAGAATTAAATTAGATTGCATTTCCTGTGAAAATGCTGTGTGAATGCTTATTGCTCAAGAACCTGCTGAAAAACAGCTGACATTAGCTAAAAACATGCTGAAATGTAGCTAAAGTCTAAGTTGGCAGAAGGAAGCAGAAAGAACACAAGTAGGTTTACATAAGCAGAAATTAGCACAAAAGTTGGAAAATTAGCTAAAAAAAAGGCTGAAATTAGCAAAGAAAAACAGATTAAAAGGCAGAAAGAGGCTTAAGCTTCCAAAAGGAAGTAGAAGGAGCTGAACTGAGCTAAAAATTAAATGTAGAATTAGCTCAAAAATCTAAATTTAGCAAAAAACAGCTAAAAAAAAAAGTAGCTGAAATACCAGAGAAAGCTGAAACTAGCATAATCAAGATGAAGGGAGCTTAATATGCTGAAATTAGCAGAAACGAGTTAATTAGGCTGAAAGTAGCAAGAATTACCACATAAACGATCTGCAAACAGCTAAAATTAGTTAAAAATGCTAAAATAGAAGCTGAAAGGTTAGAACAAGCTTAATTTAGCAGAAGAAAGCAGAAAGAACACGTGTTTGTTGAAAGAAGCAAAAATGAGCATAAAAGCTGAAATTAGCAACAACAACAACAAAAAAAAAACCAGCTAAAAAGTAGTGAAAAGCAGAAAGAAGCTTAAATTACCTGAAGGAAGTGGACAGAGCACATTTTAGTTACATTAGGCTAAAAAGATTGAAATGAGTGCAAAAAATGTGCAAAAAAAGCTGAAATACTTAAATTAGTATAAAAAGCTAAATAGAAGCTGAAATAGCAGAAAAAGCTGAAACGCAAAATTAGCTGAAAGGAGCACAAAACAGCTGAAAGTAGCTGAAAAAATTAAAATTTACAGAAAGAAGCTGAAAGCAGCTGAAGCAGAACAGAATATGAAAGGAGCAGTAAAAGGTTGTAAACAGATGTAAAGGTTTGAAGGAGCTCAATTCATTTTCTATGAGAGAGAAAAAACGGCAGAAAAGGCTAAATATTTCAAAAAGCTAAAGTTGCACCAATACCAAAAATTCATAGCAGGATTGTCCTGAAAGAGCCGAACGTTTTTATTTATGATTTGTTGAAACGGTTTGAAAACTGCGGGACGAGAAAGATGCTGAAAAACGTGCAGAAGAAAAACGGATCACAATAGACTGAACATTTCAAAAACATTCACACAATTAAAGCTCTGACATTTAGAACCTGCAGATGAGACAACAGGCTCCTGTTGTTCAACAGAAACCTGTATTTTCCTGAAAGAAAAATCAGAAAATGATTCTCACACACGTTTGACTGCGATGAACTTTTTGTTCAGGTAGATAAATTGGGGTCTGGCACTTTCCGTCAGGTGTGAATGGAGTGAGATTTCTGTTCCAGAGCAGTTTTTTCAGAATATGGATCGCTCCTGTAACAGATCTGACCCAGATCCTCCGTTTTACTCATCTTTACTTTCAAGTGACTTCGTTTTTTTATCCATATAACAGAGATTATTCCAGCAGAACTCATTAAGACTAGATACAGAATCCAACCATTTTCACGTCCTCTGCTTTTTATTAACACCGGTAGTTTCTCTGTTCCGGTGTTATCATCTTTCAGATTGAACAAAATAAAATAACAGCACAGGAGTATTTTTGGCTGCTGTTTTTATGTCCAGTTCACATAACGCCAGTTCTTTGTAATTGACAGCTCTGATTGTTCCTTTTGATCAGGCGTCCATGTTTTTAAGGGTTGTTGTTGAATCTTCACGTTACCGGAGTGTGTGGTCCGTGTTTGGCAGAGGAGCTGAGGGACAGCACGCCAGGCCGGCCCGTTTGGCCGTCACAAGTGTCGACTGTTGGACGGAGCTGTGCGTTAGCGTGTGCACCAGGTCTTGAGTAACCGCCCACTCGGCACCGAGTCCCTCTGAATGTTTTTTTTTCCCCATTTGGTCTGTAAATCAATGAGGCTGACCCACATCGTTGGCTGACTGATTAATCAGACAAAATCATTAAAAAACATAACTCTGTTGAGCAACAATTGCTCTAAAACTTCAGTTTGTAGAAAGTTATTGCTATTAGAGCTGAACAAAATGTCCAGAATTTTATTTAGTTGCTGTGATGATGTTTAATCGAACACTTTAACCTAAAGCACTCACTATGTGAGAGGCGGGGGACACCCTGGACCCTCCAGTCCATCACAGGGACACATAGAGACAAATGAGACAAACAACCATTCACTCTCTCTCACACACACCTAGGGATAATTTAGAGTTACCAGTCAGCCTAACATGCATGTTTTTGGTCTGTGGGAAGAAACCGGAGCACCCGGAGAAAACCCACGCATTCACTTAAAGAACATGCAAACTCCACCCAGAAAGGTCCATGCCTCGGATTTGAACCAGCAACCTTCTTGTACCAACTGCACCACTATGGTAATTGCATACCTGCAAACTCAGAAGGGATGAAAGAGGCGACAAACCTGTAGTGTGTATGTAGGGGGTGGGGCGTTTGACATTATAGGCTAACGTTAACGCGCAATTCACTGCTGCTAGCTGACTTCCTAGCTAGCATTACATGCCGACAAGCTTTCTCTTACAAATAGCATTATGTTGGAAAAGGTAACTGATCATGACACGCATAACGTTGCTAAAGTATGATTAATTTTTTGCCAAATCAGTTTT